AAGAGGATGCTCAACATGTAGAGAGTTCTATCTCAGGTGATCAGCAACATCACAGTATAGCCACAGACAGGCCCAAACGCAATATCAAGCCACCTACCAGGTATGGTTTTGAAGATTTGGTTTCTTATGCGCTTATTACTAGTAGCGGGGATCCTACAACTTTTCAGGAGGCAGTACAAAGCCAAGANAAGTGATCAGCAGCATCACAGTATAGCCACAGACAGGCCCAAACGCAATATCAAGCCACCTACCAGGTATGGTTTTGAAGATTTGGTTTCTTATGCGCTTATTACTAGTAGCGGGGATCCTACAACTTTTCAGGAGGCAGTACAAAGCCAAGAGAAAAGTAGATAGATGGGTTCTATGGTGGAAGGAATGGAGTCGCTGCATAAGAACCAGACATGGGAGTTGGTGGAGCTTCTCGAGGGGAAGAGGCAACGCCCCTGTGGTACGGTATAGGGGTAATTTGTAAATACGTTCGTACTAGGGTTATATAAATACTTAAGATGTAACTCTACTTTGAATAATGAAAAAGAACGGTCGTTCGCTCCTGTGGATATAAGCACATTGTCGAACCACGTAAATATCTGTGTTATTTTCTCTTGCTTTCTTAATTCTTTGATTCCTTATTATTCACCATAATTGCTGCACGATCTCAACAAACAATATACAATCAAAGAGCAAGAGCCTCCATTAAAATTTGAGTTGATTAAAATTTATATTTTTTATGTATCAAAATTCGGGCCGATTAAAATTTGATGCTTAAGAAAATTTAGAAAATAGAGGGCTTTCTTTGAAGATAAACCTATCTAGAAGAAGTCTCATTGAAGATATACCTATTTAGAGGGGGTGGATGAAGTTTTTCCTAAAATACATCACGAGCAATTTAGTAAAATTATATTCTAATTAATATCTTTAATCTGACAAGGAGTGCCAGCGAAGATTCAAAAAATAGAGGAGGTGTCCTTGAAGATATGATAAACTTAAAAAGGTGTGATTGAAATTTTTTCAAAAATTTATACAACAGAAGGGGTCTCATTAAGGATATGCCTATATAGAGGAGGTATGGATGAAGTTTTTTACTAAAATATATCGCAATTTGATAAAATTGTATTTTAGTTAAGGCCTTTAATCTGATAAAGGGTATCCGTGAAGTTTAAAAAAGTAGAGAGAATGTCCCTAAAAATATGATAAATTAAAAGAGGTGTCACTGAAATTTTTCCAATTATTTACTTTGCCAAAGTCCAAATTTTTTATCCAGCAGAAAACAGTGAATATATCATGATTGATTCTCTTCATTATGATCTGTCTGATAATTCAATAGAAATTGTTTATGCTGACATTTTGCCCGTGGGATTCTGGGCAGTCATGGGGCTTATCCTCTGCTGGGTTGCTGGTCCAGCCCACAGGAATAAAAAAAATAATTTAATTTTGACTTAAATTCAGAGTTATTTAAAAAACTATCATTCTGAAACTTGGCTTTATGGTTGAGTGTCACTGTAACTGACAGTGGGGGTAGCAATTGTGTCGGGCTAAATGGTAACGTGTCGGGTTAAACGGGTGACGAGTGAAAAATGTATAAATTCATATACGATACGTTTAATAAACGAATAAAAAATCTCAACACGAGCACGACCCNTGAAAAATGTATAAATTCATATACGATACGTTTAATAAACGAATAAAAAATCTCAACACGAGCACGACCCGTTTAATAAACAAGTAACACGACATGACTAGTTTAACTTATTTAATGTTAAAAAAATTATACCAATAAATTTTAATACTTTTTTTTTTACTACTAATTACACTTATCTCAAAAAAGAGAAATTTTAAATCAAATCTCATAAAAATAAGACTTGAAGGCTTTAAAAAAAAAACAAGAGTCTATTGTCTTTTATAGGCAACTCACCCTCCCCATCTCCCCTCATTTTTCAATGTGAGATAAAAACAAAAGACATTAGTTTGTCTGTCTGTCTTTAAAGTACTCTACAATTCCTCTCATTTGTCTTTAAAAAATAAGACTTGGAGGCTTTAAAAATAAAAACAAGAGGTCATTGTCTTTTATAGATAACTCAACCTTCCCCATCTCTCCTCATTTTTCAACGTGGGACAAAAACAAAAGACATTTGTTTGTCTTTGCCTTTGAAGTGCTTTCCAACTCTTCTCCTTTGTCTTTGAACTACTACTTTACTTTTTTTTTTATGGATTTATTTACTTCTTTTTTTTTGCTAATTTTTTAAAATAATTATTAATTTATTATTATATTAATTTTATTTAAACGGATAAACGTGTGATAAACGGTTTGACAGGTCTCACCCGAACACGACCCGTTTATTAAACGTGTTTGGCGTGTCAACCCGTTTATCACCCAAACTCATTTAATTCGTGTCGGTTAATCGTTTTGTGCCGAATTTTGACAGCCCTAAGTGACAGATACCCGTTTTGTATGGGTCAAGCACGAGAGCTTGACAATCACAAAAACAAGACCCTATCTCCCCCCTCCCCCCACCACCCCTGCTGTCTCTCTCATCCCATATAAAATCATACCCTCTACCCTCAATGCGATTTTAAACCTCGTAGACTTCGTCATTTTTTTTCATTGAATTGTTTGTGGGCTTAGTTCAAAGCGGATAATTTTTTACAAAAATAGGTCCATATTGTTAAAAATGGTATCAAAGTCATTGACCCTTCTGGGGTGAAGTGTTTGCACCTCATGTGTACCTTGCTCCGACAAGGCAGTGTATTGGGTAGTGGTAACTAATATGGTGGAAATTATCCTCACTTTTTTCTCACATCACTTAGGTCTAGATAAGTCTCACACGAGGACGTATGGCCCTAAGAGGAGTGGATTGTAGTGGACCCGACCCCACATTGTATGGTGAACTCTGTGCAAGATGCTTTATAAGTTTAAGCTTTGAATTTTTATCATACAACGTATTTTAACAACCTATAGACATAGCTCAAAAGAAGTAATATTGTACAATGCCGGTTCAGGACGGTATAGGCATTAACTCAATGTTGTTTATCACTAATCTGTCAATTAGAACTTGAGAATCCTTTCAACAACTCTAATTCCTGTCACAAAATTTCACTTTCAGCATCTCTTTTTTTCCCTCTGTTGGGCCAGTTCCTTATTCCTTTTGCTCAATTGAAGGAATCCTTCATCTGTGAATTATGAGAAACAGTACCAGAGAATATAATGAGCAGATGCTTTGAATCTCAAAGCATGAGAGCCTGANATGAGAAACAGTACCAGAGAATATAATGAGCAGATGCTTTGAATCTCAAAGCATGAGAGCCTGATTTCGAATTCTGATAACTGTTTGGGCCAGACTATGAGAAATTTATCCCTCATGCATATTTTAGTCCTAACATAGATGGTCTGTTTTTGATCGGACCAAATAAGGAGTTAATCGAGATATATGTAATCTGACTACACATCTCTAACCGTTGAATAAAAAAAGAAGCATGAAAGCCTAAAGTATCCTATACCTGAAAGTTGGCAACTTTGGCAGTGAGAACATTAGGTAGGCATCTTAGTTAGGTCCCATATGATCTCTGAATACAACCACCCAATAGCTGCAAGAGAGTTGGACCATTCTAGCTTTGTCCTTTTAGAAGCATACCAGAATTGTCATAAAGAGGGAGTGGGATGGACTTTTTGAACGATGGAAATCAACCATGTGACACCTCAAGTTGCACCAACAGGTTAATTTAACGTTCTTCACCCTTTTCTTACTCTGCCAAAGCTGTCGTGCTGAATAATTCATTCATCAAAGTGACCTGCAGCTCTTAAATAGGGAAAGACTATGGTATCCAAGTCCACACCATATAAAAAGAATTGAAAAAGTTATGACTCCTTCAAGTGAGTGTGATACAAAAAATTTGGGATCTATTTGACTATGTTGGGGGATTGATCCGAGTTGTTGTGATCGATCTCAAATTAGAGAATCGATCACAATTCACCGTAGAGTCATAACTAGATCCATTTGAATGGTAACTTGTCTTGTTTGAATCTTACTTTTGTGGTCTTTCTCTCATATACATATAGAAGCTCTCTCCCCTTCTCTCACATACACAGACTGTTGTGATCGTGCAATAATTATGGTGAATAATAAAGAATCAAACAATTAAGAAAGTAAGAGAAAATAACATAGAGATTTACGTGATTCAGCAATGTGCCTACATCCACAGGAGTTAGCGGCCGTTCTTTTTCATTATTCAAAATAGAGTTACATTTTAAGTATTTATATAATCCTAGTACGGACGTATTTACAAAATACCCCTGTATAATACCGCGGGGGCAATGCCCCCGCACCCCCAACTAATCAATATCCCCCTATGCATAAAATATATCAATCCCGCAAAGCAGATGCTGTCGCGGGCTCCNAAAAAATAAGAGAAAATAACATAGAGATTTACGTGATTCGGCAATGTGCCTACATCCACAGCAGTTTGCGGCCGTTCTTTTTCATTATTTAAAATAGGGTTACATTTTAAGTATTTATATAATCCTAGTACGGACGTATTTACAAAATACCCCTGTATAATACCGCAGGGGCAATGCCCCCGCACCCCCAACTAATCAACATCCCCCTATGCATAAAATATATCAATCCCGCAAAGCAGATGCTGTCGCGGGCTCCATTTCGCTCCGGCATCTGCCTCCTTGCCATTGTGCACACAGCAAATATAAGTCACACATACTCCAACACAGATAAACAAGCACAAAAGCATCCAATTGACACAAGAGCTTGGAGGTTCCTGAAAGCCCATCTTTAGTATAAAGTTAGCTGGTAATGTACATTTACATATCGACCGAAGAGGAAGTAATTTTCACTCGGATTTGAGAGACTACAAGCAGCAAAAATATCCGCATAGTGAAAGTACACTCCATCACCTTATTTTCCCATCATGGAGAGAAACAACCTGTGAGTTGAATTCAGGGCAGGGTGTGGACTTGTGGAAAGAATCACAGAGAACTCTTTTGGCACATCTCAGAAATCTACAGGATCAACTGGAAGAGAAGTAGCCCTGTGAAGTGAGTGTGGAGTGAGCCCCCTTGTATAGAAACTCTTTGCAGTGAACATATGCTCTGGACTACAAGACCCATAGGCTGCCTCATAATTTCGGAACCTCTGGTTAGCAAATTTCTTGTCAGCATCAGGAGGAAAATACAAAGTGAAATGCCTCCCAGAGGCAAAAGATTTTAATTGAACAACTTCATCATCCTTCTCTTTCAATGGAGATGAAATCGACAACAATTTATCTTTCCTGTGTTCTTGGCTATCAGAGTTGAGGTTTAAACTAGAAGGTTTTGATATGACACCCAATTGTTGATCCCTAAGCACCCTCAACTGCATTTGATACTTGGCCTTGAGCCATCTCAATTCCTGCCTTATCTCATTCTCATAATCCTCGGCTAGTTTATGAGCTGCTGAAGGATTTGCAGAGGGAGAGTCTCGTTCATTAGGCTTGCTCTCTTTGTTGATATTGATAATTCTCTCATCGCTTCCCCATGTTGATTGGTCATATGATTCGTCGTCCTCAACAGACTGATTAGCTCTGGATCCTTGTGAGCTTAATTCAGGTCCATCATGTTGCCCCCAAATATCAGTATAGTGCATGCCATCGGATTGGCTTGACCCCATGGGTGCACCTTCTGTTGCACACTGTTCAGACCCTTCAAGTTGGTATGTGATCTCTTCAAAGCGGCCGTGTACAGCAGCACATCCATGTCTAGAACAGTGAAGAACTTGCAGGTGCTTGGCGCCCGGGTTGTTTGAGGATAAATGGTGCATGAGAGAACCATTTGAGGCACAATGGTTGCAAAAACCATTAGATAGGTAATCAGGACTATTGTCTATGGCTAGTCCACTCTTCCATTCGGGTACCAAGGTAGCAATTTCACTATCGATCATATCTGCTATCTTAGTCTCGTCTTGATCTGTGATATCCAACTCCGCCACCATTTCTGCAGCAACACTTATAGCTGTATCAGTCTCAATGTCAAAAAAGAAGTAGATATTTCGGACACGACCTGCAGAAAGAAATACAATGATGGAGTTAATTGACCTCATATGTTAATAGAAAAGAAGTTGACCCCCAAATAACTGGGATAAAGCTTTGTTGAGTTGAATCAAGTTTGTATTCACACATGAAAACTAATGATATCTGAACTACTTGAACAAAATCAAGAAGTAAAATCCACACCTTCTTTATCTCCAATTCTGAGCCTCAAAAAGATACCATCATCTTCCCTCCTCCTCCCTTTGATGGTGATGCCAACACTTCCCAAATGCTCATCTTCTTGACTTGTGAATAGACCGATCTCATTTGCTTCGTACTCTATTGAATGGTAGTCCAATTGACTCTCCAGTTCATAGCCAAGATAATTGGAGTAACCATTGATTAAAGAGCCATTACTATGATGAACTTGTAAAAGAGGTGGTCTTAGCTTAGGGACTATTTCATCCAAATCTCTGTAATACTCTAATGGCCACAAATCGGATCCATAATCCTCAACTTGGAGAAAAGGGTCCTTCAGAAGCTCCTTAGCAGAGAGCCTGTCAGAAACAGCCGCTAAACATTTCTCAACAAATCGCCTCACCTCAGGATCATTAACTTTGTAAAGTGCATCTGGCTTTTTACCCTATATCACATAAAATTGTTAAAGAGTTGCAGAGGTAGATATATGAGGCTAAGCAAAACTGACAGTTTCTAGTTCATACAGAGATCACTTTCTTGTAGATCTGAGCAGGATGGTTGCATTCACTATATGGATACTCAAAGGTGACCATTTCCAAAACGCACATTCCAAATGCATATATGTCTACTAGTTCATTGTATTCCTCTTCATACACCTCTGGAGCCATGAACTCTGGTGTTCCTGAGGCGAAACAAGAAAACCCAAATTTTTTTTGAGCCTAAACTGTCATTTGTCTTCCAAATTTATTCATTAAGAAAACCCAAAATTTTCATGATCCTGAACTGTAAATTGTCTTCCAAATTGATTCTTTTATAGTTAAATCCAAGCAATTTAAAATTGGAGGAAAGATTTATGTTTATGGTTCACTATTTGATGTATCTATCCAATAAAATTTTCAACCTCAGACATGAAGAATTTTGATCATGGTAAGATTTTTAAGAATCTAAACAATCTGGACTTACCAACACAGCGAGCTGCGTGGGATTTACGGAGGATTGCCGCAAGGCCGAGGTCACCAATCTTGACTTCCCCTTGGTTGCCATTGACAAAAATGTTGTCACATTTGAGATCTCTGTGGATCACAGGAGGGTCATGGCTATGGAGGTAGAGAAGGCCTTTCAAGATTTGCCTACACCAATGCTTTACTGCTCTAATATTAACTCTCCTGTGTTTCAGCCTATACCTATACCAAATATACCCTTTTTAGAACATAAAAAGTTACTAGAAACCCATGAACACTCTTGTATTTCAGCCTATATCTATACCAATAACTGAAAATGAAACATACCCAGTTAAGAACATAGAAATTTACAAATGATGGAGAAACTGAAGAAAAGAAGATTATGGACAGTTTTAGGGGCACTTACTGTCTAAGAGTACCAGATGTGAACATTTCTGTCACAAAGTTTATTTTCCTATTGGCAGTGTCAACCCAAGAAGTGTAGAACTTCATGATGTTGCTGTGTTTCAAGGTCTTGAGCAGATGAATTTCACAGTACAATCTCTCCAGATCTTCAGGACTTCTCAGAAAATCATAGAGCTTTACCTGATTCCAAGCAACTTCAATCCCTTCATACTCATCAAAAGCTCTGTAACTGCAAATAAGACACCCAAAAAAACCAAGAACAAAACAGAAATGAACACACCCATTTACAGAATCATCTCATACTGCCAGAACAGTTTCAATATATATATATTTTTTTGCAGAAATTCATACACTGTCTTTGAAGCTCCTTTGCCAAGAATTTCATTGTACTGCAAAAAAAAATAGAAACCTGGAACTTAAAACCGCCCTAAATTATGCAACTTAAGAACATCAGTAACAGAAAGCAACAACCGAAGGTAATGAAGAAAAGACTTACTCTTCCATATCTTCCGGTGGGATCAACTTCAACAAATTCAGCCTGATCTGGTCCAAGGGCAGTGACACCATTCATTTCTTTTTTCCAATATTTAGTCACTAGTCTTATAAATTGCTCACTGTGCAATGTTTCTTCTTTGTTTCTGAGGAAAGAGAGAGAGAGGATTAGAACATTTCTCCAAAATCAAAAGTAAGTGTGCGGTCGGAAAATAGTATCTTGTGACAGAAGAGGCCTCGGTGACTCCATCAAAAGGTCCCCACAAGTCATAGACAACGAGGCAAAGATTTCTGTAAGTCTATGGACCACTGTACCCCACATAGACAAATCATGACAAACCACCTCTATCTCATCACGGGCTGTAAAGCCAAACACACATACAGACTATCTCTCTCTCTCTCTCCATAATCATATTGCCATATGTAGATGCCCGCTGAAACAGCGGAAATTCTATTATATCCATTTTTTTTTTGGGTATCGTATTCTTAATTATTATTATTTTTAAATAAAATTATAACTTAAGAAAAAAAAATTATAACTATTTAAGACCATAATCGATCACAAACTCTATGATTGACCNTGGGTATCGTATTCTCAATTATTATTATTTTTAAATAAAATTATAACTTAAAAAAAAAAAATTATAACTATTTAAGACCATAATCGATCACAAACTCTATGATTGACCAAAAATCTCAATAACTATAATTCAAAAAAATTATAATTTTATCTTAAAAATTTATANCCAAAAATCTCAATAACTATAATTCAAAAAATTTATAATTTTATCTTAAAAATTTATAAATTCTAGTATTGGTACCACTACGGTATCGTTTCCTTTCCCTGAAACAGGCCAGCAACAGGTTGTTCAACAAGGACCAACCGTATATATGATAGTACAATGATTCATCTTTTCAGTGAAGCAAGTGGGGTATAGTGGGTTTAGTACAATTTTGGTACTTGGGAGCGGCTAAAAATATCTTGAAGGCTGCTTAATTGAATAACTGTGGGCCATGTGAACATAAATTATAGATTTGTGTATTAAATTATGGATCATCATCACTTTCCACTACAGTACACTTTGCTGGGTAACTTGGAGGTATCCTTCAGTTGGACTTCAATCTAATTTTTAGCATTTAATAAATTTCATATCTTATCGCTTCCTTTATATGTCTCCATTAGTGAAAGAATTTTTCTATTGTGATTGTTTTTGGAATCTTGGGTCTCCTCTCTAATTATTCTATTTTTTTTGATATTATCGTCNCTTTCTTAATTGTTTGATTCCTTATTATTCACCATAATTGCTACACGATCACAACAGAAGGAAATCAAGTGTCAAAGATACATCATTTACACTCTGAATGCACATTCAAGCTGAAGACAAATGCAATGACCTACATACCTAAGATGATCCCTTGATAGTTAACTTAGGAGAATTAGGGTTATATAGAATCAAAATTAATTTGTGTATGGTTCCTAGGTGTTTTCCATTGAAAACATAGTTTAAGCTATTATCAGAGCCCTCTTGAGCAATACATTTTAGTGCTTAAGAGTTTGCTTGGTTTTATGCTTAAAAAACCAGTTGGGACCATCCTATGCTTGCTAGCCTTTGCAACAGCAATCTCTTTATGACTTAGAGAAGAAAAAAGGGAAAAGGCAATGGAAGAGATTAGGACTTGACCTCTGGGGTTGCTTGAGTTGTCCCTATGGTCACTCGAGTGGTCTTCTCTCATAGGTCTATTTGAAAGTGATTTTCATTCGTAAGACCACAATTCTCCCACTGATCTTGCATTCATTCGCGAACTTAAATTTTTTTGTTGACCAAGATTGCCCTTATTCTGAGCCTATAAATAGGGAGTTCATTTTCTACTGTTAGGGTAAGCCTTTAGACAACTTTTTGAGAGAGAAATCTATCATATACTCTAGAGAGCTTCAACCACAACCCTAGATCTATAATTCCTAAGGCAACCATCTAGAGATTCTACCTAACTTCACAAATTGGTTTAAAGATCTCGATTGGTGAAAACCAAAACCATTAGTGTGTGCATTCCAAGGATAGTTTTTGCGCCCAAGATTGCTCGAGGCCTAGAGGATACTTTGCAGAGGTGAATCCAAGTGAAGTTATCCAAGATATCGAAGGAGGCCCTTGGTGAAGAGGCTTATTGAAGGAAGAACCATCTAATCATGGTATTGATAGGGGTATAAGCCTCAAGTACTTGTAAGCTGGCTTTAGGATAGTGGATTAGGGTTTGGTGAATCGATAGAGGTTTTTCGTGATTTTTCTCGATGAGGGTTTCCACGTCATTAAATTGCTTGTGTTAATCTTACTATTTTCATACACACTTGATTGAATGCTTGACATATAAATTATCCATAGTTGCGTATTGGGTTTGAGTATTGGGATTTGGGTTCCCCGTGTGAGATTGGGTGTTTGTGTGTTTAATTGATAAAATTAATAACATCAATCCACATGGTTCCATGAGTTGTGATAGTTAAAAAGGGATTCTCACATTAATTGATAATTTTTTGTGAGAAGAGATAATTGTGATAGAATTGGGTTTTAACTTGTGATTGATTAAGTGTAAAGTTTAAAAATCTATTCACCTCCCATCTAGGTAGTGTTATGCATTCCACGTGTTTAATTGTGAAAGAAGATCCACGTAGTTTCTTCCCCTTCCAGATCGACAACTTTTTCCTCTTAATGTAAGTAACATTTATCTTTTCCTGATTCTTGGAGCTTTTTCGTAAGTTATGTGCAGTGTCTTGCATGCCAATTAATTTCTGCCTCACAGTAAGACTTTTGGCTTTCTAGCCTTGCTCTCGTTGATAGGGCCTTTGGCCTTTATTCGGAGGTTCCACTTGCTAGGCTTCCAATCCTAGCATTATTTCTCTCTACTCCTAATTTAAAGAGTATTTTGTTGAGATTTTTTTGGTAATGTCAACTATGTTTTTTGGTGATTAGCCAAGTTGATTTAAGTTACCTAGGCAAAGGTAAGTCTTTTACCAGTGAGTTAAAGTTCTCAAATCTATCCTACTCACTTTTGAGCTAGGCACCTTTAATTTTTCGAATACCTTTCATTACTTAACCTTATGATGAGAGTGCCTTCCATCAAGGTCTAGTCATCCAAAGCTATGCTGTCATGCCCCGAATTTCACAAAAAGCATGACTTAATTAAAACATTCTTTTTTGTCCAAAATGCTTGTCGGTTATAATGAGATTGAATACAAATTCATTTGATTTCAATAAAACACATTTTTTTCAAAAATCAAGAAGGGTTTTATTTGAAAACCAGGCATTTCAAACAATGGCAAAAGAGACCTTTGAGAGCATTATATATAATAAAATCAATCCAACTAACTATGTATCCACATCATACCAACCAAAAAAAACTAACTAAGATCTACATCATTCATTCATCACAACATAATCCAATATAATGTTAGGGTGACAAATGCAGACCCACGAAATCCTCTCAAACTCAGTATTCCTATTTCATCTACCAAAACTTAACACTAATTTCATCTACCAAAACTTAACACTAAAGCCATAACTTTATACTACAATACCTAAAAGAAATTACCTCTCATGAGGTAATTAAGTTTACATCACAAGCTCCTCAAAATACCCTTCAAATAAAAGTTTGTGTTTAATCACATTTCAATACAACGTTTTAAGATTAAATACAAAAAGGTTTTCAAAAGTAGTCCCTCATTATAAAACCCGAGTAAATTTGAATTCTTTTACAAAAGGGGCAAAATGGTAATTTGCTACTACAAAACGGATTGCAAACTTGGATTTTTCTAGATCTCGGATGATAAAACAGACCTCACCTTTGGATTTGNATTATATTGCATTTGCACGGAGGCATCACATCCATGGGCATGAGACTTGGGTGTGGGTGTGGGTGTGTGCATGGTTTGATCAAACACCATACTAGGTGGTTGCTGGGTGGGCTCGGAAAATTTGGATTGAACATCCGATTGAGTCTCACGGTTGCATGAAAATTGGGTCGAGATTAACAAGAAGAGTTAGACTATCCCTCTGGTGAGAGACCCGGTGATTTGGATACGCACTCCGTTGGTATAAGAGCTGATAAAGTGTGTTGGTGTACGCAGAACCGTCAGTGGAAGTCCATAAATACCCACCCTAAGAAAAGACTCAGAGATTTTCTTAAAATAGTCATTGGGTGTGTAACGCCAATGGTGGGGACTTGGAAAGTCCGCTTTTATACTCATAGCATTACATGAGTGAAAGGAGTCAGGGAGGGCTCGGGTTGAGTTGCATGAGTGAGTCTCATCTCATTTCATGGCATGATATTGCTAAAATTTCAACATAGAATAATATATTCTTGTTTGGGATATTGTTGTTTGTTAAGTGTTGCATGAACATTTCATATGCACTTAGGTTGGGGAATAACCTCTGTAGGAAATACTCTACTGGGCGTGGCTCACCCTATACAAAAAAATATTTCTGGTGCGGGATACACGTCGGAGGAAGGCCCTCACATGGTACCTCAAAGATGAAGAAAGTCGAAACGTGGCTTTATTTTGAATATTGTAAATATTTATGGAAACTTTATTTTTGATATGTAAATTCATTGAAATGAATGTAAAAGAGTTGGTATGAATCTTATGTAATATGCAAATCTTCATATACATGTGTTGGATGGAGTAAATATGTTTTGAAATGGATTGAAAATGAAAAACATGTCAAACAGGAAAAACTGGACAGAACCTACCGGTAGATCGCTATCCAATAGGCAACACCCACCGGTAGGATCTCTTATAGGCAGAATTTGTTTATCAGGCAAAACCTACCGGTAGGTCTTCCAAAAATGTTGAAAATTTAAAATTATTTTGTCATGCTTTTGGGGGCTTTGAGTTCTTTGGTTCTAATGATATAAATGGACATAAAATAAGAAAAAATTGTGGTATATTGGAATTGGTTGGGTCAAATGGCAAAATATACATGTGTTATAGATGTGAGTAACGATCTCAGTTAAAGGGATTCTATTGAAGTGATGTTGGATTGGGCGGCAATCATGGGTATTTTCGCGGGTTGACAGATGGTCAATGGTTAATAAAGGACCCCCGATTTTAGGGACATCATAGCTTGGTATCAGAGCCTAGGTATACGATTTACTTAGGACTTGAGGGGCATGGGCATATGTTATGTGAATGATATATGTTATGTGTTATATGTTATGTGAATGATATGCATG